TCCACTAGGTGGCAAAATGGCAATTAAGTCCAACTCTTGTAATTTAACTCATTTTAATCCAATTTAATCATACCAAATCATATTTTAACTGAATATGCCATAAAATCACATTAATTCTAAGGATCACAAATCATCAATCAATTTTAGATTCGGCCGCCAATAAGGCCTTCAATTCGCAATTTAAACACAAAGGTATGAACAGATAATCAAAGAGTCAACAGATAGACATACAATTAAACAGATATACTTAATCAATTCAATTCCAGATTTCAGTCAGTCAGTTCAGTACTTCAATCAATTCAGTTACCAGTCATAATCAGTCTCGGTTTAGTAGTAATCAGTGGTTAATCGGTAAACAGTGACGAAGGTTGTTACACGAATGCCCTTGGCTGTCCCAAAGGTAGAACCAGCAAAATCCTAGAAAGATGCACTTATTTCCCCTATCATCCAAGGGGCTCCGGAGCGAAAGCTCTTGGCTGTCCCGACGGTAATTGGTTTGACGAAGAAAGTCACATTTCTCCAAAAAGCTGAAAGTTTGAGAAAGATTACTGAAGATTATGTGAAAGCGTCGAAGCAGTACGCAATTGTGAAGGCCACAGCCCGAACGAAGAGCTTTCTAATTCAGGCAAAGGAGGCTAATCAGTTTGCAACTACGACTTTTGTTGTAGCTTCAACGGGGGCAACAAAAAATGTTGTGGCCCAACTACTGAAAAGGGTAGAAGACTCTATTAAAATGGTGGAATTTTTCTAGAAGAAAGCCTCTACTGAAAACATGGCCATCATTAGGGCCATTGGGAGGAGGATAATGACCTAAACTCCTGTTGATGGAAAAAAGGCCCTTGTTGTTGAAAAAATAATTGCGGCCTACAAACCGATAGTTTTGTTTAGAGCACAAAATCAGTCAAACCAAATCTCAGTCAACTCTCAAGAGCCAAAGGAACACTCGTTGGTTCGACAAGATTCGAATAAGGAACACCCGTTGGCTCGACAGGGTTCGAATAAGGAACATCCGTTGGCCCAACAGCATAAGGAACACCCGTTGGCCAGACAAGGTTCGAATAACGAACACCTATTGGCCCAACGGGATTTGAATCAACATCAATTGGTCCGCTCTAAAAATGTAGGGGCCGTTTTGAAAATTCATGAGGAATTTACAAAAACGCAAACAGTTCCTTCTATGCCCCTTGGGGCTCTACTTGATATGTCATCCGGTCCAGTTTCAAAAAGACAAAGGCGAAGAAGAAATAAGGCCTTAAAGAAACTTGAACTAAGAACAGTGGCAACAAATGTTATAGGAGCTATTGAAAAGGCTTTCTCGAAAGATGAACGCCAAAAACAAATTGAAAGTCCTATCTTTGTTAGAAAGTCAAACGTGGAGGAGGGTAAGCAAACCTTGGGAAATGTTTCTATTTTGATTGAACTATCTATGGAGGGAATAAGAAAAGGGCCTGTAACAAGGTCCATAACCCGTAAGGCTCAAAACAATGCATCATAGTCAGATGCTTCAAATATGAGTAATGTTGTGAGGGTTGAAAATCCTTTGTACGAACAGCATGATTCTATCTCATTTGTTTTAACGAATATTGGAAACAATGAATTGAAAGATGTCAACAAAGTCGCAATTATGATGACTGAGGTTGAGAAAGAAGGTGAAAATTCGCAGGTCCAACAAGACTAAGGTCTCAAAGAAAAAGTGGTGGCCCTACAAGAACAACTTGAGAGAAAAGAACGGGAAATGGCTGCTATGTTGGAGCAAATGCAACAGTTGCAGGCCCAAATGATAGGACCAGGAAGTGCACCCAAACAAATGACACAACCTATTGTGGGGACATCCGTAGGCATACAAAGTACACTAGTCCCAGGGGGCAATGGTCCTTGTTACTCTGATCTAACCAGTGGTGGTATGAATCCAATGCTCATGGCCATGATTGATGATATGGTGAGGAGACAAGTAAAGAAAGTCAAAGAAAAAGATGATGAGAACTTTTGAATAATTACAAAACCTTACCCAGCATGGGTAGATACTGTTCCATTCCCTTCTGGTTTTTCCCAACCAGATTTCAAAATGTTTGATGGAACAGGAGATCCAAGACAACAAGTGGCTCATTTCCATTCAAGATGTGGGCCAATAGCCCAGAATGAGCACTTGAAAGTTCTGCATTTACTTGGTATGCTAATCTTCCTGAGGGATCAATCCTAAATTAGGATTCCATGGTGAAGGAGTTCCTTAAACAGTTCTGCAACACACAAAGACGAGTTGGAGTACCAGAACTGATTGAGACCAAGCAACATGACAATGAGTCTGTTACAGATTTCATTGCAAGATGGTGAGCTTTGACATTTGCTTGTCCTCAAAAGTTTACGTAATTAGAGTTAATTCGGATGTGCCTTAACAACTTCCGACATGAGCTCTCTACGGCTCTTATGGCTCAAACTTTTGAAGGATTCAATGATCTATGCACTAAAGCTTGTGATATGAAGCTGCATCTAGCTAAATGAAGCAGGCCTAGGGCTATTGAAAGGGTTGAGTCCTCGACAGCAGTTACAATCACAACCAGAAAGAAGGGTCCCGTTGTAGTAGGGGCTAAAAAGCCCAAGGAATTTAAAAAGGTGACTATGAAAGAAAGGTTAAAGAAGAAATATTCTTTCATGGATGATCTGGTTGAAGACCTATTTGAAGATCTGTTTGAGCAAAAGTTGATTACTCTCCCTGAAGTGAAAAGACCACATGAGGTAGGAAAGACCAATGATCCAAAGTATTGCCCCTACCATCGTTTGATTAGCCATCCGATAAAATAGTGCTTTGTTCTGAAAGATAAAATTCAGAAACTTTTGGACTCTAAGATTATCGAGCTCCCTCCTCAAGAGAAAGCAGCTGCTAACCCAATCACTATCGACAATGATAATGAAGGTGAATGGGTTGTTTATCAGTCAAAAAGCATGAAAAAAAAATAAAATGCCACAGTGAAAGCTAGAAGTGTGGTTGATTCGACAACACAAGGGCCAAAAGTTTCCAAAAAGCAAAAACCAAAAGTTTCTAGGAAACAGAAAAAAGCCAAAGTAAGTAAGAGAAAAGGAAAGAAGAACCCAAAGAAGGAACAAGGAGAGAAATTGGTCCCTGATGAGCAGTTAGAGCAATGTCCCCTTGTCCCAGTCACATTGGAAGAATTTATACCTTCAAAATTTCAATCTATGGAGTTGCAGACATACTTTGATAAAAAGAGGGAGGAAAAGTTTACTTTGGCCCCTTACTTAACCATCATTGTTTTGAGTGATGACGAGGAAGATGAGGGTGAAGTTGGTTCCAAAGTTAGGAAAGGAGATTGCATTACATCTCCTATCTGCATACCTGACTCACCAAAGTATACACCAACTTCTCCAGAATACACACCAGCCTCACCAGAGTATACACCAGCTGCTCCGGAGTACACAACAGAAGCCTTTTCTCCAAAATATTCACCAGTACCACCAATGTACTATTAAAGCACTCCAGAATATGTAAGGGGAGCAGAACAAGGAGACACCAGGTGTAGGTCCGACTCTGAGCTTGTGAAAAAGGCAAAAAAACGACTACACTTCAAGGATGATGAGAATAATGGCAGGTGTATGTCGGATGATGAAGTATAGAAGCATTCAAGTAAACAAGCAAAGCCATCTCAAGTTGAGGATCCTAATGAAGATTGGGAACTTGACTTTTCTCCTGATGGTTCACCATATACATCCCTAGCTAGGACATACGAGGGAGAAAGTGTATCAAGTGACTACTTTAACTTTCCTTGTAATGTCATCACTATGGATGTAAATTTTGAAGAGCGAGAAATACATATCATTCGCAATCCAGGTGATGATGAGAAAGTAAAAATTGAAGCTAGAAGGGAAGCAGAACATCAGGCAAAAGTAATAGTCTCTTTGAAAGATGAGGGTTTTGAAGCCCATCAAAATTTGATTATTGAAATAAATCAAATTTCTGGACACCCTTTCCCTAATTGGGTTGAATGGGCTCAGTTCCCACGAGGATATGTAGTACCAAGTTTTTCTTTATATAATGGGATAGGTTGTCCAAGGCGCCATTTGGTTTGTTTCCTTGCACAATGTGGAAACACAGTAAAAAGCCAGGTGTTACTTCTACGACAGTTCGTTCTTTCTTTGGAATGATGGGCAGCAGATTGGTACTTCAGCCTGCCAACTAATTCAATCCCAGATTGGAACACCATGGCTGATCGATTCTATAGGACATTTTACAAACCATGGCCAATAGAAATTAGGATGTCAGAACATTTGAATGACGAAGGTACATCTTCTCAAACATATGATTTCATAGAAGGCACAATTGAGGAGAAGATTAAAACTGCCCTTGATCTTCGAGAGATGGGCACTTATCGCCCAAGAGATTTGTTTCCTTTATGGGTAGAGAAAACACCATTTCCTGAAGGACACGAACTTCCAAATTCTGTCCTATATGAAGGGTATGGAGCGTTTTTTGAAATAGTGTGGGGAAACAGCTCAAAATCAAGTACTTTGCCTAAAACAATTCCCCCTTTCTTTGGAGAGGATTGCCTTTGACTGGTATTGCTCCCTCGATGGAGTCATGGTGCCTAGTTGGGAGGCCATGAAGAATGGTTTTGAAGAATCTCAATGCTTTTATAGGCGTGACTCCCCAGTACCTAAGAAATTGAAGAAGAATGCAGCTCTAGGAAGATGGAGAAGTGACTGATGATGATGATCACCCTGCAGCTGGACCAGTTAACATGGTCCAAATAAGTGAGGGAATAAAAAAAGTTGAGGTCAACGAAAAGGCAGTTGCTGAAGTATGCCAGACTTACTTGACCTACCGGAGGAAATTATGAAATCCTCAGGACCCTCAAACGTCAGAAGTTCCACAGGTTTTGCTGGAGGAAGAGCAAGTGAAATATGATGTACTAGCTCATCTAAAGAAAATTCCAGCATTGTTGAGCGTATATGATGCACTGAAAATGTCTTCAGAGCTTTGAAAGTCTTTAATGCATACCCTATCCAAGCCAGAGGATTTCCACAAAGAAATCAAGGGTAGAAATCAAGAGAAGGCAACTATATGCATGGCTATGGTAACCTTTGGTGACAAAGACATGTGTGCTGATATGACAGACTATAATCAGCCTTTGTTTATCACTGGGCTTATCTACGATGTGAAAATTTCTCAAATTCTGGTTGATGGAGGATCTGCAGTAAACCTCCTGCCTCGAAGGGCCTTAAACTTATTAGGGGTTCGAATTTCACAACTTCGCCCAAGTCGTTTGGTCATTCAAGGATTTAATCAGAATAAACAACGCCTAATGGGGAAGATTGAATTGCGAACCAAGTTTGGGGATATTGAAGAAAGCACTGAGTTCTTGGTCATTGATGTAGACACCTCTTACAATGCTTTGCTTGGGAGACCATGGATACATAATCATCATGCAGTGCCGTCAACTTATCACCAATCTATTAAGTACCCGTTGCCTTCACCCAAAAAAGAAGGGACAATTGTAGCTGATAATGATCCATTTGGAGAAGTAGAGGCCTACTATGCTGATGCTCACTTCTATACAAAGACTTCACAAAGAAAGGGAAAAGATGTGAAGAAGTTTGAAGATACTCCGAATGACAAAGATGCTTTAGAGTCCACTCCAGTTTCAACAAAAAGAACTTTTCGATATGTGCCAAAGTCCGAAAGAAAACTGGGGGCAAAGGCTCTAGCCCTAATAAATCCAATTTTGGATCTCAAGAGTGAGTTCACGTTGCCATTAAGGAGGACAGAATGCACCTATGTGGAGAAATATAATAAGATTGTCGTCCCTCCTAAAGGAAAAGGGTTAAAACCCATAATATTCCACTCACTTGGAGATGTTGAACAGAAAGTGAAAATTGAACAAGTGCCAGAAGAAAACATCTCGAGCTTTGAGAAGCCTACCTTCAGTGTAGAAATTACACAGATGTTGGTAAAAGTTGGTTTAGATCCTGAAAAAATACCAGAAACAATGACACCCTTTGACTTTGCATTAACACCTTCGCAGAGGCAGGCTATCCAGCAAGGCGGTATTATCACCGCTAAGACAGAAGGGTTAGGCTATCGGGGTGATGAGGAAAAATTTCCAATAAACATGACTATCACTCAAGATGTGTTGGAAGATGTTGACCAAGATGCAGCTCAACTTGCACCAACAGAATTTGAAGCAAGAGGCCAAGCCACTGTGGATGACCTTCGGGAGGTAAATTTGGGTGATGAAGGAGAAAACAAACCAACCTTCGTTAGTGCAAATTTAAAGGAAGAAGAAGCTCAACAATATATTTCCTTCTTAAGGGAGTATTGCGACATATTCGCATGGAACTACAGTGAGATGCCTGGTGTTAATCCAGACATTGCAGTCCATAAGCTTGCAATTCACCCTGAGAAATGCCTAGTTAAATAGTCTCAGAGGCGAACTCGACCAGAGCTTACACCCCAGATTGAAGCTGAAGTCGACAAGTTTATCAATGCAAGATTCATCAAGGAAGTCAAATATCCAACCTGGCTAGCAAACATAGTGCCGATCAAGAAAAAGAATGGTCAAATCAGGATTTGCATTGATTTCCGTGATCTCAATGAGGCTTGTCCTAACGATGACTTTCCTTTGCCTATCATTGAACTTCTTGTAGATGCAACTACTGGGTATGTAACCTTGTCCTTTATGGATGGATACTCATGATACAATCAAATCCGAATGGCACCAGAAGATGAGGAAATGACTGCATTCAGGACTCCGAGAGGAGGCTTTTACTATAAGGTAATGTCTTTTGGCCTGAAAAATGTTGGGGCCACGTATCAAAGGGTGATGACTGTAATTTTGGTGATATGCTCCATGACACCATTGAATGCTATGTTGATGATCTTGTCGTCAAGACCAAGGAAAAGGAAAACCATGTGGAAGATTTGAGAAGAATCTTCGAACGTTTAAGGAGGTATAAATTCAAGATGAACCCACTAAAATGTGTATTTGGAGTTTCCTCAGGAAAATTTCTAGGGCTTGTGGTTCGAAACAAAGGGATTGAAATTGACCCTACCAAGATTAAAGCCATTGCGGAAATGCCTCATTCACAAAATTTAAGGGAATTGAAGGGGCTACAAGAGAGATTGGCCTATATCAGAAGATTTATTTCTAACTTGGCTGGTCGATGTTTGCCATTCTCAAGATTGATGAAAAAGGGTGTTCCATTTGAATGGGATCAACAATGCCAAAATGCTTTTAATTGTATTAAGGAGTATCTTTTGAAACCTCCAGTACTCATAAGCCCAATAAAAGGGAAATCACTCTTGTTGTACATAACAGCCTTGGATGGTTTGTTAGGGGACTGTTGGCACAATACAATGAGCATGGGAAAGAAAATGTCTTGTATTACTTGAGTCGTACTTTGGTTGGGGTAGAAGTCAATTACTCTCCCATCGAAAAGACATGTCTTGCCTTGGTGTTCGCCTTGCAAAAACTAAAGCACTATGCCTTGAAACACGAAGTCAAGTTGACAGCAAAAGTAGACCCCTTGAAATATATACTTTCACGGCCCATACTTTCAGGGAAAATTGCAAAGTGGGCTGTAATTCTCCAACAATTCGCAATTGAATATGTTCCCCAAAGAGCTGTAAAGGGGCAGGATCTAGCAGATTTTTTGGCAGCACATCCTATACCTGATGACTCACCACTAGTAACTGATTTACCAAATGAAGAAGTTATGTGTAGAAGCACTCGAACGTCCCGGGAAAATCCCGTTCTGTTCAATGGGCTCACTACAGTTCGGACTCAATGTCACGGTTCTTAATCTGATCTTGCAAAGTGCAATGCGAGATTGATAAATCACCAAAGAGTCCAAATCCGGCAAATCGTTTTGGAAAATTAATTTTTAGAAAGAAGTGCCAAACATGGACTGCTTTGCCAGATACAGAGTCGCCACCTAATATTTTATTTTGGGAAAATTTAGGAAACCCTGACTCGTGCCTAAGGCCACATGTCCGTCATCACCAAAGTTGTCTCGGTTCGGGAACTTGGGTACGAGAGGGGAAGGTCATGCAATGAGCACCCCCGCTCGCCTGATCAAAGATCGGCCTTTACTAACATGATATCTTGTTTTTGAAAATACATGTGCTCTTATTCCGGTTATTAACCTAGAATTACTCTGTGATGCGCACAGCATAACAAGTATAGACTAGACCGCCTAATTTGGAACAAAGCATTGCATATCCGTGTGTTTGAAAAATGGTTTGAACTTTGCTACCTGCAAGTAGGCTAAAACACAGATTTCGATGAATTATTTCAATTCAAGCAATCTAACCTTCGCTCACAAGCATTCAGGCAATTATATCACATAAGCAGTTAGCCTCATGGTAAGTATGCTATCATGGCAGTCACTCACACACATGCAAGGATGCTAAAACATAAACACTTACCGAGTACTCCGAGTCAAAATAAAAGCTATGTTAGAAATCAATGCATGATCCTAACTATGTCAAGAATGCCTAATGCAACACATACAAAATGCAACTAAGATAGGCTCGGCTATTCTAAAATGTCATGTGAAATGCAATTTGATACATGTATTCAAACAGGAATTGAAATATAATGCAGTTAGTATAATGTGCCGAGCCCGGTGCATGCAAGATAGATGAATGGATGCAAACATGCAAGCATAAGGATGCTAATTGAAACATGCTCTAAAACTAACCATCGTAAGCTGGTAAATAAAAGGGAGAAAGAAATGGGGGTTAGAAGACAAGCATCACACACATGCACACTTATTTGCAACATTGCCCTCTCGGAGGAGCGTCCGAATGAATAATACAGAACCAACTAGCTAATCTAATTAAACTAGTTATTACACAACAAAAATGAATAACAAGCTACAGCTAATTATTATACAACTCTAATTAATCAACAAATTAACTAAGTAAGTGATTTAAACAAACATGTAAACTAAATGATGTAGGTTGCCTCAGCTCTACTTTGAATGACAAAGGATGCATGCATGCTCGAGTCACCTTGTTCGAAAATCCCTCGCGACGCCCCGATTTGCCTCTTTTTGCAATTGATCTCAAAAACTTGCACCAAGCTCCAGAGAGATGAAACTCCACCCCAGGAAACTGTGGGAAGGCTGCCGACTAGCTTATAGGCATGGGAGACCAACTATCGACCACCTTTTGTGGTGGAAACCAAAAAAAGTGGTCGGCCTGCCAGTAAATCTGGTCGGCCGACCAGTTTCCTCTCCTGGTTTCTGGTTTTCTGCAGCAACGGGAAAGAGAGATGCACGGCAAAGTATTTGTAACACATGTGTACACGACCACTTTTCCCATCATTGTATAAGCTCAAGGGAGTGTAGTCCTTGACCTTTGGGCCACCAATCACGTATTTCGATGCATGATGGCCGAGGAGCCAGACTGCACGACTCAATGTGAAATGAATGCACACACAAGCACCTAAAGCCAACAACTCCATCATGGGTAGTCAAGAATGTCGGCGACCGAGAATCGAGGCACGTTTCGTCACTTTGAGTATGAGACGTCCCTCATTTCCTGTGTTCGGGCTAACTCCTATCCCAAACACAATGCAACAAACATGGCATGCACAAATGCAACTCTAGCATGCAATCCTAATGCCTCTAGCATTCAAACTCTGATTCAAAGTCTCGAACAACGAAGCAGAATATGAGGCATGCATTGCTGGTTTAGAAGCAGCCCTGGAACTAGGGGCAAAACGGTTAGACGTCATCGGGGACTCGAACCTTGTTGTATCCCAAGCAAAGGGGGATTGGAAAGTCAAAGAGAAAAAGATGATAATGTACCACCAGACCTTGGACCTATTAATTCCTCGGTTTGAGAAGCTAAACTTCACTCACCTACTAAGAGAGAACAACAGGTTCGCAGATTCATTAGCAATTCTATCTTCTATGATAGACATCCCGTCCGGAGTCCGGATGCGTCCAGTCATCATTGACTAGAAATTCGTGCCAGCATACGAGTCGATCGCCGCCATAGATGAGGTTCAAGACGAAAACCCCTAGTATTACGACATTTGGAATTTCTTGGAGAAGGAAGCATACCCGCCAGGGGTAAATGCCAAGGATAAAAGGACAATCAGAAGAATGGCCGTTCAGTTCATCATCTGCGGAGGTAAATTGTACAAGAGAGGTCATCTGGGAATGCATAAGCTATGCGTTGAAGCTGAAGAATCAAAACGCCTGATGGAGGCCATCCATGGAGGAGAATGTGGAGCACATATGAATGGGGTAATGCTAGCGCGGAAGATCCTCAGACAGGGTTACTACTGGTCCACCATGGAGGAGGATTGTATCGGCTTTGTTCAGCGATGCCACAAATGCCAGATCCATGCGAATCGCATGAACATTCTGCCGTCGAAGCTGTACAATATGACTTCGCCATGGCCATTTTCAGTTTGGGGAATCGACGTGATCGAGGTTGTCACTTCGAAGGGATTGAATGGGCATGAGTTCATCCTGGTCGCGATAGATTATTTCACGAAGTGGGTCGAGGCCCAATCATATGCGGTGTTGAAGGCGTCGCACGTTGCAAAATTTATCAGAGACAACATCATCTGCCGCTACGGGGTCCCAAATGAGATTATTTTAGATAACGGTTCCCACTTTAAGAAGGAAGTGATTGACTTGTTGGAGAAATACAACGTGGCTTTCCATAAGTCGTTTCCATACCGGCCGCAGACCAACGGAGCGGTCGAGGCCGCCAATAAGAATATCAAACACATACTACAGAAGATGGTGGAAACCTACCGGGATTGGCCAGATAAGCTGCCGCTTGCTCTGTGGGGCTACAGGACTTCAATTAGAACTTCTACCGGAGCGACTCCGTATTCATTGGTTTATGGGATGGAGGCCGTTCTACCTATCGAAGTTGAGGTTTCGTCGTTGCGAGTATTGGCTGAGTGTCAAATAGTCGAAGCAGATTGGCAGTAGAGCAGGTTTAAGGAACTCATGCTCTTTGATGAGAGAAGGCTGAAAGCACTGTACCATGTTCAAGGTTATCAGCGCAGAATTGCCGGGCTTTCAACAAGAAAGTCAAGTCCAGGAATCTAAAGGAAGGAGATTTGGTGCTCAAGGACAACCGAGCTCCCATCCACGACCCAAGGGACAAGTTCAGACCCAATTGGACTGGTCCCTACATCATCAAAGCTATCTGGTCAGGTGGAGCTGTGGTTCTGATGGATATAGATGGCCTAGAGTTCTCCCAACCGATCAACATGGACAAGTTGAAGAAATATTATCCCTGAGAGGCTCGCTAGGCCGAAAACCCGAAAGGGCGACCTAGGCAAAAGTTAGAGCATAGAAAATTGGAAAATATAAAAATAGAGCTCGCAAGGTTGAAAACCCGCAAAGGGCGGCCTTGGCAAAAATTAGAGCGTAAAAGGAGAGTGAA